GCAAATATGCAAGATCCAGTACTCGGTCAAATGTATTCTGATGTGTCAGGGAAACAGTGTATATTTGGATTATTTGTAAACATGACAATACCTAGGAGCAACAGTGTCATCGGAAAATTGCAAATAAGAATGCAGGGCATGGGCACTTTACAAATCTTTGTTGAAAATACCTCTTGCTTGTCTCTTGTCACCCCACTACTTTAAGTGTCAGCTCACTCTGACAGTAATGATAGTCACCATTGTCTGTGTAAATTGGACTGACCTGCTTTGTGATAAAACCCTGGATTTGGGCTGCAAAGAGCAACTAAAGAAAAAAAGAATAGGATGAAATTAAGTAGGAAATAATTCGGTCAAGTGGATGCTGGATTTGCTAGAAGCCCGCATCCACAAGCACACATACAGACACTCACACACACGCACACCCACACTCACTGTTGCACAACAACCAGAGATACTGTAGCAGCTTTCTCAAAGGCAAAGACAAGTACAACACAGTAAGTGGCAGTTCTGCTGTCAGATACGCAAACACACAGAGCAGCAGCAGAATGAGATACACACGCTGACAAGCATTTTGAGTCGAGCCACACAGCGAGGAGGTGGTTCAGCCTCCCGAGGAGCCCGGGTTTCAGTCCAGTCTGGTTTGGCCAGCACTCCACAAAGGAGGAGGAGGAAGTATGCTTGAGGAATGAGGGGAAGAGATCTGCAAACAGTAGGGAATCAGCTCGTTTCATCTGATTATCGGATGTGAAGCACAAAGGAGCCCGGCCAAATAAACAATGTCTCAACGCAACATTCTGCAAGTTAAGGATTTCAAGTGTGATGTGTGCTCGCTTCTCTATCAGATCTACTGGGGGCAACAAACAAAGAACATTTTCTGGGGGGAAAAAAAACAGAACACTGAAGATGATTTGTGAGACAACAGAGAGGGGTGAAAGATAAATGAAGAAGGGGATAAATGCGTGGATTGGTAATAGTTACGTTTTTTTATTTGTAGCATTGCAACTAAGATGAAAAGGAGGAAGATTTCGATGGTTGGCCAAGGCATCAGTCCTCATCATCTGTCCAGTCGGCCACCAAGGAGAGGACAGAGGAGGGATTAGTGGTGTAGGAAAAGTTCAGAGCATCCTGTTACGTTTATGAGTAGGTGAGTCTGTGATGACATCACTACAGGGGGCAGGGCCTCGTTTACGATTGGCTGTGGAATCCAAATGGAGCGCCATCTCCTCAGCGATGAAGGTGTTGAGGTCCACATCATGAAGACCATTCCTACGACGACTGAGGGACTGGGCAGGATGAGTTGGGGAACCGGGAGGACCAGAACGCACAGAAATGCTTGCCATGGCACCACTAAGGCCTGAAATTAAAAAGGAAAAAAAAAGGAATTAAGCCACAGAAAACTATATTAACTTAAGCGTCTCATTATTATAACGCAACAGCTTTCTGCTGAACATGGCACCTTGACCTACCATGCAGTGCTATGGCCTCTCTGAAAGGCTGCAGGTCAGTCTCCACAGAGCTGCCTGTCTCTGGGGGTGCTGGTCGGCTTGCAGACACCATAGCAACTCTTGGCGGGGCGCGTGCTGTCCGTGGAGGTGGAACTTTGCCACACAGGAAGCTGATAAGGTCCTCGCGCCTGATAGTTCTTCTGCGCTTCTTAACCCATGCAATCACATCCTTATTCCTGCGCTGGTGGCCTAAGTGAATGCCCAGGTCATAGCTCCGTTGGCGGGCCTCCATACTCTCTGATGATACACAAGGACAAATGGTTTTACAAACAAAGTTCATCTACACCAATCTTATTTACATACAGTACTTCCTGCAACAAAAATAGACAATGATCCACAAGACAGGTAGTAGTCAGAGTTACTTGCCTTTATACAGGTTAGTGACAGCTGTGGCTGCATTCTGGAAGGGCACCCAGAGGGAGAGGCCCTGCTGCTGACACACTCGGTCTGTAAATTAAATTCAAATTGTGAGTCAGGTTGCCATAACTTTCCAATGACAGACTGGTGTCATTGTTGCTACATATACCTCACAATCCTTTTCTCATGCTCTCCTCAACAGAGGTGTTCAAGCTTTTACTTTCAGAAAATACAATTGTATGTGTGTATACCAAAAGAGGAAACTAACAGTGATGGTGTTATCGGAGGCGAGCATTTTCAAACTCAAGTTTTAGTCTAATGGCTGCCTTCCGAGGTTGCTGGAAGCAGAAGCATTTTGCCAAGCAGAATTTCTAGACTAAGTGGAGGATAATGACTGCACTTGACAAGTAGTCAAGAGCCTGTCTGGCAATTTGGTGAACAAGGCCATCTTGAACATTCATTTTACACCCAGCAAATAACTTGCTGGTCAAATCTAACCAACCATGATGTCACCATTTTAAATATAGACGATTTAAATGGAGGCCTACGTTTATTTCCCGTTTCAGTATGTGCTAATAGCAGAAGCTGACAGGAGCCCAAGTTATTTCGATAGCAACACGATATCATCGTTATGTTCAAAGCACTCTGCAGGGCAGAACGAGACTTTAACAAGAAAATGTTTACTTTAATCCATCGCCATTTTGTTCTTGATATTGTATTTGAAACAATGCAGTCGTCAGAAAAAGGCCATAGGACTGTGTGTTGGAATAAAATGTCATCGTGCCGTTACTTATCAAAATACTCCACACCACTGCGACAATTAACTATCGCAGCGTTAGACTATCAACAAATGAGCTGTTTTCAGTCGGCAAACTCCTCCCTGTGTATCGCCATTTTGACGAGCTAGGTAACTGTTAACGGGTGGACAAAAACATTTTAGTGTGAGCCATGTTGTGTCCAAACAGGGCACATAAATGTGCTTAAACAGTGAATACACACACCGCCGAGTTAGCCGGTGGTTTGAGAACCACTTAACTCGAGTACTTGTAAATACACTGGGCTCTGGTGGACCTCTGACAGCTCAGGCCACCGTGCGCGAGACTCAGCCCTGTTGTCCCACACTCTGACACGGTGACCGGCTGTTAGCAGCTGCTAGCGTTAACACTAGGTTAGCGTTAGCTTCCCCCGGCTAACAACGAAACGGGGTCACGATATCGACGGGAGAACCATATCGATTTTGTTTACAATTAAACGAATACGCATTCTGGTGTCACCCAACAACCACGAAAACAAACCTAGATGTGGAGAAACAGCTGCGAATAGCTACCACTGTTAGCCTAGCCGGTGCCCTTTGTGTCTCTCTCCGCTAGCAGGATTAGCTTTCATTAGCGTTAGCTCTGACAGTTAGCTAGCTTGACTTGAACTTAGGTATCGTTGGTACAGACCTTTGTAGAGCTGCGCTACCGCGGTGGCCGAGTTCTGAAAGAGGTGCCACAGTTTCTGTTGGCTTTGTTCCGTCTCCTCCTCGTTTGGATCATCCCTTTCGGCCTCTGCTAGACACTGCCGTTCCCATTTTGAGAACCAGTGTTCGGGGCCGTGCTCTTGGATCTCCGCTTCTCCCTCCTCCTTCTTCTCCTCCATAGCTAATGTTAGGCGTCAGCTAGTAGCTTAGCAGCTAGCCTTCGAGTGAAATTTAGAATCGGTTGGTTTCCGGAGAAACTAAACTGTCTTTTCTTCTGTATTCTATCAGAACAGCCCTAACAATCTACAGAAACGAAGAAAAACAGTCGTTGGTAAAGTAGCATTGTGCATATGTTTAAATCCGCCCGTACGCCCAGTGTAAAACACACGAAACTACAGAGCACGATGACAACACCTAAGAATTTCTGGAACTGGCCACGCCCATATCGCTGTACTATAATTGTGATAGGCTGCGGAGATTTCTGTAGGCGGTTCTTGGTGCTGAACACGAAGCCTGATTGGACAACGACAAAAAAGAGAAAAGGTCAGAGAAAAACAAAGTTGATCCCACCCAGGAGATTCTCTGTAGCCTGCCATACAGCATTCTGCCCAGCAGGGGGCAGCCTGGCCATGTAAATGTGGACCACTAGGCTATGCAGTTGAAAGTATAAGGACACCCCTGTCCTGTTTACACTGCATACTTACTGTGTGCTTTTGGTCTAAGGCTGATTTTCATTGTTAAAGCAACCTGTAGTTTCAGTTTAAGACTGTTAAACTTGCTACTGGCGGCAAGTGACAATTGTAGGATAATGACAACCCACAGAAATCATACAAAAAACACATACAGGCAATATGTCTTGGTGATTTGGTGCATTAACAATAAGTACAAAAGTTACTGTTCCTACAGAAAATATGGGAAAAAAGAAACAATTCAAATTCAAAAAATTTAAAACAAAGAGCTACTACAGTATCTGAACTGATAAAGAGCAATCAAGATAGTAAATGATTCAGTAACATCCATTATTCTGTTACTTAAAATTAGCCACCATAAGCTGCTGATCATAGCAGACTAATTAAGGCCGTGGGAGCCAAAACTCTGAGCAGAGAGTATATGACTTATTAATGCAACTTTTCATTTGTAAGAGTAATATTAACAGTGTATTATTTCTTCTTTCAGAAGTTAAATAGTGCTCTAAGGACAATCTTAATAATACAGGGCATGTGATTCCAACTCTGTTGCAACATTTCGGTGACTTCCTTCAACCTGACAAAACCAAGCCCATAATTAAAATGTTTTTCCTAGTCTGGTGTGTAAAAACTTGACTGGCCTGCAGAAAGCCTTGACCTCAACCCCATCCAACACCTTTGGGAGGAATTATGCTGACTGAGGGCAGGGCCTTATCACCAAACATGAATGCCCCTTATGGTCCCCCATGATCCTGAAAGCAGATTAAGAGATATTGTCAAGAGATGGATAACACTATACACCGTGTAAACGTCATCCCTTATCATCACTTTTTATCACATAGCTTGTGGTGCTTCTTGGGTGCAGTTACAGTTGGTCCGAGATGTTGAGGAGGAAAGTTCAATGTCATGTCAGTTTGGCAACAACCACAATTCTAGTGGCTGAGGATTAAAGAGGAGTCCAAAGATCAGCTACGTTTATTACAGTAACTCACTGATTACATGCTTGCTCACCTTTCCCTCTGTCTTTCTCTCTGTCTGACTGCACTGGTCTCTGCGTCAGACTGTACCCCTCTCTCTTTGAATCTCTATTTCTGACTCCTCTTCTTGCTGCAAATTCTACTGTTTTTTTTAAATATGTCTCAGGGGGAGAAGGTTGTTTGCAATGTTGAAGAGTATTTCCAGGAACGAGGGCCAACTGTCACATTTAGCAACTTGCACTACTGTGTTCACGAGACGAGGTTCTGCCGCAAGGGAGGTGCTGAAAAACACATCCTCAACGATGTAAGGTAGGGCATGATAGTTACCTGTCAGTGTGTACGTGTATACACACACCTACCCACAGCACTATATGTAATGACTGCATTATCAATTGGTGTTGACTGTATGTTAGCATGCTACATGTATGAGGCAACACTCCAGGTGCTTCTTCCTTAATATCGTATGCACCATGGTTGCTATACATCAGACAGTAAGTATTTTATGAGATTGTGTGTTTGTTGCTCATTTTATTGAACCTGTATATCATTCAATACATTTTATAGGAACTTCGTCAGTCTGTTTATTTGTGTATTATTGAGGAAAGCTTAGACAAAAAAGAAAATCCAGAACAAACAAAGTCAAACATGTCCTGATATAAGATGGTCAAATGGGATGCATTTACATTATACATCTGTATTTTCATGCTATTGTCATCAGAGCTTTTGGCCAGAGCCTTTTAGGCAACATACAATGAGTTGAATTAAAGTAATCAAAGCATGAATGACATTCAAAAGGCCCCGAATATTACAGATTACAGAAATTTCAATGTCAGTAGTACTTGCTCGATGCTACTGTACTTCCTGTTCCACTGCAAAATGTCAAAACTGGACAATGAAGATGTTTTTATGAATTATACTGTCATCCACTCATGCACATGGAAGGATGTGGTGGCCTGAATCTAATGAGTAGTGAAAGATAATCTGTGTCTGGATTACCATATGGTAATACTGAAGTGGACATATTATAGAAATATTTAAACAATGATGCCAGCATGGTTTCATGAAAAAATACTATCAGGTGTCGGACAGTTGTATGTAATCATTTTTAAATGTAACCCGTAATTGCCTGACTTGTGAATGTAAATCTTTAACATGAGAATGTTGCAGTTTCAAGGTCCAGTGTCTAAGATTTAGGGGGCTTTAGTGGCATCTAGTGGTGAGGATTGCAGATTGCAACCAGCTGAAACTTCTCCCCGTTTGAATTCCGTCAGTGTTCATTGTTCAGGAGGTTTTATTGGGAGCTAAATTATCCACAGAAGTCTCTTCCTCTCCAAAACAAACGGACCAGCTTATGAAACCCGGCAATAACTGAAAAAAGCAGTTTTACATTAAAATGCGGCTCGGCATGTTGAAGACGAGCGCCTGCTAATGTGTGCTCACCCTTTTTCTCTCATAACTTAAGATCCAGACATTCAGAAAGTTTTTACTGGGAGCTGAATTATCCACAGAGGTCTTTTCCTCTCCAAAACAAACAGACCTAGGAATTTAAACTGGGAAAAACACTAAATAAATCAATTTTACATTACAAATCAGTGTTTCTCTTATGCTGCTTGTCGCAGAGGGGTTGCTAACTACAGTGGCCAACACAAAAACGCAAATGTCCCTATCCAGAGTCAGTGTTTGGTTTGTCTGTTCTGGGCTACTGTACAACATGGCAGTGCAACATGGTGCACTCAGTGGGTTCGGACCTGCTCCCTGTGCAGATATAAACGGCTCATTCTAAGGGGACAAAAAACAACAATTGTCATTTTCAGGTGATTATACACTACAATAGAAAATACTTTTTATATTATATTCCATTTCTGCCAATATATCCCCCAAATCCTACACACTGGACCTTTGAAGGTTTATCTTTGGCTTTTAAAGCTACAATATATCATGGTAATTGGACAGAATTCATTCTAGATTGTTGATGTGCTGGTTGTTTGTTGCAGTGGCATCATGAGACCTGGGATGAATGCCATCATGGGCGCCACCGGAAGTGGCAAAACATCGTAAGAAACATACAAACACACAGGCACTGTGTCACACACACACACACACACACACACCCACATGAATATTGTTTCTCTTACTGTCAGACTCCTGGATGTGATCGCAGGAAGAAAAGACCCTGCTGGACTGAAGGAAGGAAGAGTGATGGTGGATGGCAAAGTCGTCACGTCTGAGCTCAGGCTCAGCTCTGCCTATGTGGTCCAGGTACACATACACAAACGCTTTTTGACGTTATTATAATTTGGAATTCTCTGAGTTGTTTGTGCCTTCATCACCCATGTGCCTCTAGGATGATATCCTGATGGGCACTCTGTCTGTGAGGGAGAACCTCCTGTTCAGTGCCAACCTGCGTCTCAACCCTCGGGAACACACCACCGTGGACAAAAACAGCAGAGTAGATGCCATCATACAAGACCTGGGCCTTACAGACTGTGCAGACACTAAGGTACAGTGTTACATACACAAACTGCATAATAGCTGCACATCACTCAGTGTACTGCAGTGCTGGAGGAGTATTTACTCAACCTTGAAGATTTTAACTTTCCTAATATCTTACTTAAGTATAAGCAGGAGCAAATGAACAAGTAGTTCATCTAAAAGTGTTTTTGCAAGAAAATCTATCTACATTACTTTTTTTTTATGACTACCCATAGGAGACACCAGTGCACAAATCTTCATTGGTGAACCATGAACAGCTCTGTAGGTGTCCATTGTCTCATATTTATGGGTGCCATGCCTTTACTTGTACTCTGTAATGGTGTACTATATTTCAACTGTAGCAAAGTCTATGAAAAGTGACTTACAGTATTCAAAAGTAAAACTACTGACGTTAAAACAGCTTAAAGCCTACATGTTTAAAAACAAGTTACATAGATTTCAGGGGGGGTGCGGGGGGATGTCTCCCTCAATATTTAGGACATTTACACCCCTCCACCCAAATAAAAACAAGTAAGTTGCAAAGGTCTTACACTTTTACAAAAGTGCAAAATAAAAAAAAATCAGTGTAAATTCAGTGTTTGATGCTCAAAATTTGCTGGCAGAGGACCCCCAACCCTCCGTTTAATTTGTGCTCCTTCCCACCGCTGAAACGAAATCTATGCCCCTGTTACCAGGAGTATTTACTGTTTTTCAGCCTTGCTGTTAATCTCAGCACCTAAGTGTTTTGTGTGTGTGTGCAGATAGGGACAGAGTTTCTGCGTGGTGTATCTGGAGGTGAAAGGAAGAGGTGTAGCATCGGGATGGAGCTCATCACCTCTCCCTCTCTGCTGTTTCTGGATGAACCGACCACTGGACTGGACTCTAACACTGCAAACTGTATCATCAATCTACTGCACAAGTACAACATCATTTCTAAATTATCTCACATCAGGCAACACACGCTACATATAAACATAAGATACTAAAGCATACTGCTGCTGAAGATGACAACGCTTTATTACTGATGCCCCACAAATCTGCTGCATCTTCACCATACACTGCCGTGTTTGTGTTTTCTCTACCAATATGGATAAAAACAAATTTCCATATGTGTGTTAAGGCTCTCCAGAAGAGGTAAGACTGTGATCTTCTCCATCCACCAGCCACGCTACTCCATCTTCAGACAGTTTGACCATCTGACTCTGATGCATAAAGGGGAGGTGGTGTACGCAGGAGCGGCAGATCATACACTGGAATACTTCACAAACCTTGGTATGAGTGTGTTTGTGTGTTTACTGTGCAAGGTAGGAATGTGTAGTAATGTATGGTTGTATTTGTTGATAGGTATGCACAAGTATGAATGTATGGCTGCCTGTTTGTACATAGTTATAGATAGATATGTATGGTTTTACTGTATTTTCTCAAATAATGGCCGGGGGCATGGTCACTACAAACAAATACAGGCAATGGGGGAAAACAAAGGTGGATAAACTCCTGGTGCCCGAGACACCAAAAAAAATGCACGTTAACTAAGAATAATGCACATGTCCATTACCTATATAAATGCAACAATATGATCCATGCAAATATTTAATAAAAGCTTTATAAAGAAATGAATGGATTCTTTTCACTAAAACGGGAGCTTTAATCTTAAACAGATACAGAAAGTGCTGAGTAATGCAGTAACAAAAATTTAACAAAGGAAATGGAAACGCGTCAAAAAAGACAGAGGTAGAGTCAAATAGAATGAATTTAAAACAGCCTCTCTCTAATATAAGCTTGCTTCAAATAAAGCCTGGTACCATCTGCAGTTGAGGTAAGTAAAGGCCCCATTTACTATTTGAGAATTTACAGTTTAAATATATGATGTACTGTCATGCATAGATATATTTCTATTTGTATTCATTTAAGTTCTGCTTCTGTTCAGTTGTTAATTGAGCATGAATGCTAATAAACTCAATCTCAAAGGTGTAGGATCTTGACTGGGAATATGTCTGAATATAATATGATGAATCCTTATAAAGAAAAGGGTAAGTTATTCTATTGCCTCTGATGTCATGGTGCTTGACAGTCAGCAACCTCAGTTTAGCTGCTGTTCTATATTTAAATATTCATACATTATAATCTGCTACTGCCATATAAAATGAAAAAAAAACCTGGTTGTCTAGATGGTGAACTACTGTTTTATTTAAATTATTTAATACCCTGTCGGGATAATGTTTGCATTCATAGAGGCACTCATCACAGTGTTGCACATGTTGTATCATGTATTGTATGTGTGTTTTGGTACAGGCTACCAAATTGAGTCCTTTGACAACCCTGCTGATTTCTTCATGGACATCACAAATGGAGAGGCGAAATCATTTACATCACCCACTGCAGGTACACACACACAGTTTCATTATATCGCACCAACAGATGCTCTAAGCATGTTTTTTTGGTAATTTGTGGGTAAGAACACGTCTGCGTAACAAAGTCAGATTGGGCTAAAATCAGTTATCTAGATGATTGAAAAACTAGATGGCTAAAAAACCTACTTGTTTTCTTTTAGAATTAGATCGATTTCCTGTCTGTACAAAGAGTATGAAGCCAGAACCTAGAGTTGATTAGCTTAGCTTAGCATAACTCCTGGAAGAAGGGTTGTTGTGATTTTAACTATGTTTATTTTGCTGTCCTTATCTACAACATGCCGATGTGTAACGGCTTCTCTGTTTTTCTACAGTAGAGTGTTATAACCCACTGGCAACCAAGTACCGCCAGTCGCAGCTGTGCCAGGATATGCTTGAGGAGTTGAACCATGTAAACCAGAGCGTTGCTGAAGGGCTCAAAGGTGAAGAGGAACCAGTCGACTATGCTACCTCTTTCCTCTATCAGGTCAGTGAACTCCACAATTTAGAAGCACATCAAAGATATTGGACAAAACATGTTTCTCTCATTTAAACTATATGAGATAATTATCCATTTGAGGCAATTAAAGTCTCAGTTGTGATTCATTTCATCGTGATTACCCAAAATTGAAGCGAATCTATGTTGCATAGCAGAGTTCAATGACTGTGCCAGCCAGCTGGAAAGATAGTGTGCTTGGCTGCCCGCTGAATGAACCCTGTTTATAACTGTCATCATAAAATATAACTTCTGTCTGCCTCTGTGTGTGTGTGTGTGTGTGTGTGTGTGTATGTGTGAGACAGATGCGTGTGGTGTGTGGCAGGACAGTGCTGAACACTCTGAGGAACCCTCAGACCTCTTATGCCCAGTTGGCTCTCAACATCTTCTTTGCAATTCTGGTGGGACTCATTTATTACCAAATGCCCTTAACGCTGCCCGAGGCTCTACAGAACAGGTACAGTACGTGTAACAGACAGCATAACAGCCAACCGAGTTTTCAGCACAGTGTGTCTGCTCTATTTTCACCTCTGCACACTCCTGTCATAACTGTGTCACCTTTCCTCAGCCCACCAAAATACAACATTACTTTATGAAAATAGAAGATAATATCAAAGGTTTTTCTTTGTTGTTTGAATGCAAACATAATTGCTTACGCTGTCAATACAAAAATGATAAAAATGTAAAAAGAAAAAAAATAGTATGTAGCACTGGGGTATGAAAGCTGAATTCAATTTAAAATATACTAAATTAGTGATATAAGAAGCTATGCCATATGAGCCATATAAGAAGCCAAGGTGTCATGTAATTTGTATTCAGCAAGTGACAACATTTCACAGTAGTCTTACCTGAATCTGCTGTTATACTTGTTCCTTTGTGGGGATAAAACCCACGTCAGGGTGACATTTTCTTCTTAACTTTCCATCAGATGAACTGATAATCAAATACCTCTCTCTCTTTCTCTCTCTCTCTGGATGACAGGAGCGGAGCGTTCTTCTTCCTTATCATCAACATGGTGTTTGGGAATCTCTCTGCTGTGGAGCTCTTTATAAACGAAAGGGCGATCTTCATGTGAGTCAAAGATAAAGGCTGTGTGTGTAAGCACGTTGAAGTGCAGGTTCAATGCCCAGATGCATCTATGTGGATCACTTCTCTTTTTAAGGCTATTTAAAGGATAAGGCTGATGTTACTCTACATGTTTATTATTGTACAACAAACAACAGCTATGTCTTAGTACTACTTAAAGTATTGTCTGGCTTCCCTTTTCTGTCTGCGGCACTCGGCCCCAAGCCCACTGGTTCCTACAGAGGATATAAATCTTTAACAGGCCATATAGTTTTGTTTCTAAGTACTTATAGATTATCAGTGAATCCTATAAATCTTTTATAATCCCATGTTTTTTTAACTGTGGCACAGTATTTACATGTCTCTTGATAGCCTTTGCTCATTTTTTGTCGCAGTCACGAGAACTCCAGTGGCTATTACCGCACCTCTGTCTACTTCCTGTCCAAGATTTTCGCTGATCTCATTCCCAATCGCATCATCCCCATCTTTGTATTTTCAGCCATCGCCTACTATATGATGGGTAAGTCTCACACATCCAAGCATGTACTGTACACACCAAGAATGCACACCATATTGTATAATGCATATGAGGAGAGATTGCATTGTAATAAATTGTAAATGAACATTCGAGTGCTGCACAGCTTCTTTTTTTGCATGTCTTTTCATTCTGTTTAAACCTACTGTTTCTGCACAGTTGCAGATGGGGTGAGACATGACTACAGAGGGAGCCCATAGCAGACATTTGTAGCCTTACACACGGGAGGTCCTACTGGGAATGACACTTACTAGCACAGGCCCTGCTGCGATAAATCAGACTCCAGTAAGCATGTTAGGTAGCTGTGGTTTTCTCCCGGTTGGTGGTGATAACGTGAAACAGCAGTGATATTATTTGCTGTCCCCATTAGCTGGTTAGCTCCCATGTTAAAAATAAGCTGGGCTGTGCGAGCAGAAGATTCATTTGCTGCAGGTGGCGGTCTAGCAGCAATCTAACAGCGGCAAAAAGCAAGTTACATGTTGCTTAGCGTGTTCACTGACATATACAGTGGTGGAAAAAAGTTTTCGGACACCCCATGCATTTGTGAAATATTGCATTAAGAATCACTCTTAGGTCTTCAAGTGCAATTTCTTTTAGTACAGTCACAGCCAAAATACTAAATAAATCCTAAAAAAAACATTAAAAACTTAAAATTGATTGGTTCCATAAAAATACAGAAGAAATTTTGAGTATTGGGTCATTTTGGTACCAGTAATGAAGGTCGTTCTTTTTATTAAAAGACACAATTTTTGTTGCCAAGCTTCGTGTCTACATAAAGCCAACACATTTGAAAGTTCTTCAGACACAAAAATGGCTAAAACAAGGAACCTAACGCAGGAAACACGCCTGAAGATAAAGATTCTCAGCCAGGAAGGGTACAGCTGCCACCAGATAGCCAGGAAGTGCAGATACAGTCTTTCAGCAGTTGGATACACTCTGCAGAAATACAGACGAACCAACAGCTTGGAAGACAAACCAAGATCTGGGCGTCCAAGGGTTTCTTCAGTAAGAAATGACTGCATCCTGATCCCCATGTGCAGGCAAAACTGCCGAATGACATCACAGGAGCTTCAGCAGCAGTGGTCAACCCAAACTGGTGTCCAGTGTTCCACCCGCGCTGTACGTGGCCGACTTTTAGATCATGGCTTAAGGTCCTACAAGGCTATCAAGAAGCCCCTGATCAATGAGAGACAGAGGTTAGCCTGGCTTCGTTGGGCCCAGGCACACAAGAACTGGACAGCCAGGAATTGGAAGAAGATTTTGTGGTCAGATGAGTCCAGTTTCCAGCTTTATCTTCCTCCTACTAATGTGAGGGTACGCAGAAGGCCAGGCGAAGCATTATCTCCAGCATGTACAGTACCTACTGTCAAGCATGGTGGAGGCAGTATCATGGTTTGGGGATGCATGAGTGCTGCTGGTGTTGGTCATCTCACTGTCTGTGATGGCACATTGAACTCTACCAAGTATTGTACCATTCTCGAAACCCACATGCTCCCTTCTGCGCGTGCACTGTTCCGTCGAGGTAAAAACTGGATGTTTCAACAAGATAATGCCCCTTGCCACACATCCAAGGCCAGTAGAACTTGGCTGCAGGAGCACAGTATCCAGGTCTTAGAGTGGCCAGCTCAATCCCTGGACATGAGCCCCATTGAAAATCTGCGGTGGATTATCAAAAGGTCTGTTTCAAAGCATAAACCAAACAATTTAGAAGAATTAAAAGCAATAATTCAAGAAGAATGGGACAAGATTACCCCTCAACAGTGTGAAAGGCTCGTGGGGAACATGCCAGCCAGGATTAGAGCTCTACTACGTGCCAATGGCAGGACTACTAAATATTAATTTGATGATGTGATGGTTTATTTATTTTTTGTTCAGTTTTGAACACATTCTCTGTTATTTGTTGACTTTGATACCGACAATGTTGAGAACTGACATATTGAAACTGTCAAGAATTTAGTTTTGTTAGTTTTTCTTGTAAACAATAAACAAAAAAATATAATTTGTATTTGTTTATATCTGTCTAATGCAGCCACACCTTTTGAAACACAAAAAAGATTTTTCCACAAATATTTCATGATAATATCTGAGATTGTGTAAAATTTTAAGGGTGTCCGAAAACTTTTTTCCACCACTGTAGAGCAGGTTAGGACATCTGATGTTTGCTTGTTAGCATCACATCCAACTCATTTAATCCAGTGAATCACTTTATTAAAATTGAGGGTTTTCTTCAAGGGTATTTTGTTAGGGTGATGACCTCATAAAATATGATAACAGACAATTAAAGCTTCAATAGAAACCCTCAGTAGAGGCTTCGAACGTAATGAAAGGGCATTCAGTACAGCCCTAGAAAGCAGCAAAAGTCCAGGATTTTCTCTGCATTGGTTCGGCTTCATCCCAAGGGCATTCAAGTTTTAAGGAATAAAATCTAGATGACAGGAAGCTGCCTGGCTCCAGTTCTGTACGTCCTCCTAGTTTATGCTCCTACTGGTGATCTCTTTTTGTCTGGAACCTTTCATTTGACCTTTCAGCCATGTCTAACCCCACCAGGGGGAACCTGCTAAAAGCCATTCTCTGGATTTTATTAAAATGTACATTCTCATTGTCATGTCTATCTTCCTGCTTACAAGTATCCACCACTTTTTTAGGACTGAAGCCTGCCTTTGAGGCCTTCATGTGTTTCTCCCTGACCATGTCTCTGGTCAGTCTGGCAGGAGTCGGTCTGGCCTTCCTTGTTTCTGCCAGCGTATCTTCATTTGCCATGGCTAACATCCTCATTGCTCTGCCCTTCGTCTTTATGATGGTGAGACGCCGAGAAGACACACACATAAAATATACATGACTGAGATCATAATGTGCACTCTTGAAGATATATAGTAGAATTATATTTTTCACAAGTGTATTATTCCCTCTCTTTAGGTCTTTGGTGGTTATCTTGTCAATCTCAATGCCATGCTGAGCTGGCTCTCCTGGCTGAAATGGATCAGTATCTTCAGATATGGACTGAATGTAAGATATGTAAAACAGGCAGAGCGAGAGCAGAGGAGCGTGGCTGTGAGAATGAGTTCACCAGGGTTGAATTTTATCAGTGTTTATCTGTAGCGAGGAAGTTTTTCAGCGCATCTCTTTGTCCCTCTTAGGCTGCATTCATCAACGAGTTTAAGGGACAGCTCTTCTACAGCAACACCACCATGTGAGTGCTGAGCGATAACACAGCCACTCCTTAAAACACAATTACACACACACACACACACATACACATACACACGCTGAGCCTCTCTTGTCTGTGCTGCAGTATCCCAGGGGAGCTGTTCCTGAAAGGACAGGACATTGACTACTCTGTGTGGGGCTTCTGGCAGAACCAGGTGGCTCTGCTGGGAATCATATTGGTCTGCATGTTCCTGGCGTACGTACAGCTGCGACGAATCAACCGCTGGAAATGATGCCCGTCCATCTGCTTATGTATCCATTAACCATGCAACCGTGTACTGTGTCTTTATCTTTCATCTTATTTATTCAACAGACCTTAAATGAAACACATACCATCATTTGGGGGGAAAAATAAGATTTAAATTATTATTTAAAATCAACATATTAGTTGAACATTACACATTCAACCTCTCTCCATCCTTCACTCACTCACACTCTCACTGATAAACAAACACACGTGTTGTAACATTTGACTCCCAGGTGGATAAGCTGCCACTAAGCACACTTGGTCTGTGCACGAGGGAATGTACAGCAACCGCCACGCTGACGTCTAAGTCCATACAAAGCTTCTTACAGTGACTGACACAACATTAGCCAGAGTAAAGAGAAGATGTACAGAATTTAGTATATATTACAGGAAATACTTAAGTTAAAAAAAAAAAATAATTAACAAAATTTATATATATATATATATATATATATATATATATATAAGTCAGTGCCTAAAGCTATTACCTTTTTTTATTAATGCCTCAGAGAAACAGTGAAGGAATTGTCATTTTATTTTGAGTGAAATATACCTTTTTTGTTACAAACTTTATGCAAGTTTTACAAAAATATATTGATAACTTATCAGCATGAGGTATGGGTGTAAAGTCACGCTGTAAAACTCAGTTACACGGCAGAGAAAAAGATTCACACATGACGGAGAAGCATTCAAATGAACACTTGTTTTAAAGGTTTGAAAATCATCTTATTCCACTCTGTCTGACGGTGTCACATATATTCTGTGTCATGTTGCAGTGAGGCTATATATTTACACCAAGTGAAATCCTCGAACCCAAGACTCTGTGATTTTTACGGCTGCACCACTGCATTAAAAAAAATATTTTCAATGTATTGTGCATTATTTTACAAAAAGTTCCTGTGAAATTCATCTTATTTGGAATCTTGGGGAAGTTTTGCATCTCCTCTTGAATTTAAATAAAATTTTAGGTTTGAAGAATGTTGCGTAGTTGTTGTTGCGTAGTATGAGTTGGACAGTCACTGGGGTTGAAGAGATTAACCGTGGCCATCATTTTAATGTGAACTGATACAGGTTTACTGACATGTATGTTAAGTTACACAATAGGGAAGCAAAGTGTGAAGGGATACTGTGGTTTAGAAAGCTGACCCAGGTTTTCTTATCCCTCCCAGGAGACCCAGAACAAGACAGTGTAGATCGGCTGGGTGCAGGTGCCTATCTATCGTATCTGCAACACAGTCAGGGAAGAGTTGTCTTTCACATTGCATTTCATGTAATCAGATTATTAAAAAACCTCCCTGTGCACAGTGCACACTCATAAAGTGGTAAAGGTGTATCTTATCAACGCGTGGTTTCATGTGTCAGCATGTTAGAAACATAATTCGTTGCACCTTGTTAGTAACAGAATAAAAATGTTTAGTGACTCAAATGTTCTGCAAATAACCCGATATATTGTGATGCTCAAATTTAAAAAAGTTTTAAAATGTGACCTTGTGGCAAAATATGGCTGGTACTTATCAGGTGTTAAAATGTGCAGAGCAAATTTGGATGTCTTGGGTTTTATTATCCCTCTGACTTGGAGAAGAACATGGATCAAACAAAGCAGCAGGAACAGAACATCTCGTGAACTTGTTGAATTCTCTGACAGAGTCATAAAAACTTCAGCACTGTAGCAATGGATGAATATCTTAACAGGACTAGGCCCAGTACACACAAAGCATTGGGGGATAAATAACAAGCACATCTTCAAACGACAACACATAAACAGAAACTGCAGTTCATTCTGAGGTTGGAAGTCGACACCTGAGTTAACTCTCCGTTCAACTTTAGAAACTTTTCACACCGCTTGCACTCTTACTCAGGCTGTGTCCCACTGTAACTGGTGTGTTCTCCAACCCGCGCAGCCACTCTGTACATTTCAGCACCACACGCTCATCCACACCATGGTCCTCCTCTTCCTCATACTCCACATCATCATACTTATGCTGCTCGTTCAGAAGTGAGATTTTCACAATCGAGCTTATGTCTCCCAGTTCAGCATCACTGTTGTTTTTAGCCGGGACCCTGCTGCTTGGAGTGCTGTGTCTCTGTGTTGCTGGTTGATGCCTTTTAGAGACGTTTTCCCTCCTGCGCCTGGAATCAGAAGCATTTCCAGAAGCTCCACTTCCAGCATTTCTGGACGCTGAGTGTTGACGTCTCTCACTGTTCCTTCGCTGCAGCAGCAGAACAGCCTCAGGTGTGAGAGTCAGTGTGAAACGGACCTCATCCTGATGCCTGGCCCTTGTCTTCACCTCTGGTTCACTCTTCGCAGAGCTCTGGCTCACAAGTTTGTGCTGCTGTGTTTTAGACAGGGACTCGCCTGAGCTGGAGGCAGGAAAACTGCCTGTTTGTGATGAAGGCAGCAGTCTTTCCCTTCTCTTTGCATGCAGCTCTGCCCCTGACACACCTTTGGCGGTTGGCAGATGACTCCTGGGTTGGCTCTTTTTCCCCAGCTGCTTCAGGTTCGAAGTCAGTCGCTCCTTCACTGAGCTGCCTTTGTCTTCTCTTGGGACCTTAGTCAAAGTAGATGTAGATGAGCTGTTGGTGATTGGTCTCTCCTTCCCGGTCAGTCCTGACACAGAACGTGCAATCGACACAGGTGGTATAAATGGCATTTTGGCAACACACAAGATTAAATAGGAGAGGAGTTCAGTTTTGCGTTTGAAGTTCTGGAAGAAGAAAGAAGAGGACACTAAGGAGGAAACCGATTGACTGGGGGATGCAAGATATTCTGATGCATCCTCGGCCATGCAGGGGTCAGCAGTCCGTGTGTTGCTGCTGGGATCCACCAGTGCTCATCTACCCTGAGTCATCAGACATCCTTACAAGGTCTTATACCTGAGCAGCAGGAGGGTGTGGCACGGCATGCTGCAAAAGGCGTGTGCGACCTCAGACAAGGGGAATGAAGGGTTTTGCTGCATCTAAAATGCTCATTACTCAGAGGCTCAAAGATCTAAAATAAACCACACTCCTTAATCCTCTGGTGTCATGGCAGGGAGGGCACGTTTACTACACACTGTGCAAGTGCACATGCAAGCTTAATCCACACAGGATGTAGTGATGATTAGAGTGAGAGTAAGGTGGGGGGTCTGTGCATTAAGCACTGTTTTGGTAATGGTATAATCTGTGGGGACCAAGTCTGACATAATAGTGTGTAGGATTTAGGGCGATATATTGGCAGAAATGGAATGTAATATGATAAGTATGTTTTCTTTTGTGTATGAAAATAAAAATCATCATGTTTTGTTTCCTTAGATTGAGATGTTTATATTGACATAGGGAGCTGATCCTCATCCATGGAGTCCACCATGTTGCACTGCCATGTTTCTATAGTAGCCCAGAACAGACAAACCAAACACTTGCTTTAGTCAGAGCCATTTGTGTTTTCAAGTCAGCCACCGTACTTAGCAGCCCCACTGCGATGAGCCAGATATAACTGGAAAAACACAGATTTTTAAAATGAAACTGCTTTATTCTGAGTTATACCAATTTCAATTATTGGGTCCATTTGTTTTAGAGAGGGGAAAGCCTCTGTGGATAATTTGGCTCACAGTAAAAACCTCCTGAACAATGAACACCAAAGGAATCCTAACCGAGAGTTCATGCTTGGCACCTGTTGGGTGGCTCTTCTCGTATAAGACAGGAAACACAGAGACATAACTACCACAGAAAACATTTATTTGATATGATTTTCTTACAAAACTCCATTAAAACATAATTTAAAAATCTCTAAATTCTACATGACAGGAACCAACATGTCTTCTCCTTATATACTATACATTTAATCATATAATTATGCTGACTGACTTTAAGAAAGTGTTCATTTTTTGCAACTGAACTTATGTTAAAGTAAGAAACACATTAGATTAACCATTTGGTGGTTAATCTTGTGTGTGTTCATTCACAGCATGTCCTCCTGTGTACATGGAGGACCTGTCGACAACGAGGACAAGTGTGATAGGCATCCTTGAAATAGTTCATGAAAAATGGAATCAGGCAACATCCAAGCACCAACCTGTGAGACAGAAATAAGACATCAGCCTTCTGAATATACGTTATCTGTGTGATTGGTGCTGAGTAATAGACAACCAGATTTAGGTATTCGAATGAGCCTCTCCTCACCCGCATAGCACAAACACAAGACACATGAGCCATGCGTGTCTACCAACTCGGTAGGTGACCTGTGTGGTGACCTGAGTCTGACAGGAAGGGCATGTTGTCAGAGCTGGAGAGCGATACAGCACCGTTTCATAGCTCACAAACTTTGGCCTGGGAGTAGACTGTGGGAGAGCAGACACTAGAGAGCAGACATGAGGGGGGTGAAAAAGCATTCTTATTTAACATTATGATGTTCTCTCTATAAGTCACACTAACTATCCCAACTTAAAATAAATCTACACTTGAGTCTAAAGGGAAGAACATCACTAAATTGAGAACAAATAAAATGTCACATTCAGGCCTACTCCGCATTCAAAATGGAGGCGGATGTTAGGTGAGCATGTACCTGCCAGAGGTAAGTGAGTCTGGGTGGAGAAGCCAACTCCAGAAGAAAAAGAGAAGGAAGGAGGTGGTGGTAGAGGGCTAAAGGGTGAGTGAATGTGGTAGATCCTCCCCTCTTGTCCTGATTTACTTTCATCTGGAAAAAAAAGAACATACACAAGTTTTTTAAACTGTGAAAACTCATCAACTCAGGCCCCATAAATAAAGCAAATTGATAAGAGTATTTTACCTGGTAAGAAGTACGGTGGAGGTGTTGGAAACAGCTCGTCCATTTTTGATAATGACTCCATTTAAGAATTTTGATGATGTAGTACAAAAAAAAAAGAGTAAAAGTCTGAATGTGTTTTGGTGTTTGCAGCCAGCAGCAGCTCATCTGGAGGTGTACCAGCTGCATGGAGAGATACTAATTGAGATCTCCTCTGATTGGTTTAGGGACCTATTACCCACAAGGCAATAGTAGGATTGCATAATAAGTGATTTGGAGGGTTTTTTTTAGGTTGTTATCTTACTTACTTAAAATTCAGGTTTACTAGACATTTCTTGCATGTCATTTTGAGGCCTCCCAATTATATTGTATTCCCCAGATTTTAAAAGATTTATATTTGTACTGTTGCCAAAAAATGCTGTAGAATGATGTGGTGTGTGTTTGGGCAAAGTTAACAGTACTTGTATAACGTTCTGTCCGAAAAAAACTCCACTTTCAGTATGATTGTTAGTGGGTTATGGTACCTACAAAAAGGGTCAGCACTGAAATTATTTTTTTGCTTGAAGTAAAGCTGAGTTCTGTGATAAATGATGAAAGCTGAAAACCATCTACAATATTTCTCAAAAAATAAATATATTGTCAAAATGGATTGAACACAGTCTTATTTGCAGTCATATTGCAATACAGCCCGGGGGCCAAAACTGGCCCGCCAAAGGGTCCAAGCCGGCCCACTAGATGACATTGCACACCTAATATTAATGCACCTGTAAAGGCTAAGAGGTGTCAGGGGTCAGGAGCTATTTAAACTGTGAGAAGATACTAAATGTAAAATGCTGCCTCTGGGGCTTTTCCACCCCAACCAGAATACAGCTCTCTGTATTTTAAGATATTGAACAATGTGCAAAATATTGTTCACCAGCAGCTCCAGTTCAAATGTATCTGTATCAGACTTTTATCTTAAAACAATATGGGTGGAACTCTATTGCTAAGGCACTGACAAAACTTAAAATTGTAAATGGTTTGTAAGGCATGGGATAACTTAACCTGCTTCTTCAACAGCTTCCACTTTAGTGGGAGTGGAAAATTATGAAAAAAATGCACATGTAATGAAAGTGAGTAGTAGACTG